CACGCCGTCAAGTTCTTCTTCCTTGACCCTCGATCCGCGTTACCGTTGTCAGACTTGTATACTTCCGCGTAATTTAGGTGTGGTGGTTCTCTTCTTGTGTGAGGTCCCGGTATTTCAGAGGTAAAGACCCTGCTAGAGTCGCCAAGAAACCACGTAGTTCGCACGGAAGTGGACCCACCCCCTCGAGCGAGGTATTCAGTCTCCAATTTCGTCAAGAACTTCTTCCTTGGTTGACTAACACTTTAGGCCCGAGGTCCTGGCATCTGAAATTTCGGCACACGAGACCGATCGCACATGGGCATGGGAGTCCAAAGCCGCATAGGTCCCCAACCTGGCCCCGATTCTGGCAAGCCTGCAACGCGTTACATCCTCGATATCAGCATTAACGCACTCACTGCATTCCAGCCCTACGTCGGCAAGGTCTGTTTGCCTGGGTTGAGGTCAGTCGACCTCGGCCGACCATAGTGGTGTGGAAGAGAAGGCTTGTCCTGCGGTGGACAAAGGGAGTGTCCGGTCGTGCTGATGATGGCGCCGAGTCGTGCAGTAAGATATATAATGGTTGCTGGAGAATAATCAAACTAGGCGTAGAACACGGAGAAGTGTGAATAAAATAAGAAACTCAGCTCAAGTATGCTCAAACTAGGGTGGATTCGTGCACAGGTGCTCAGAAATGAGGTGTATACGTGGCGGTGAGAGACAAAGGTGGAAGATGCCGTTATAGGTCCGGTGCAAACAAGTAAATATGATGAGTCAAAATCATGTATGTAATAAAGTCCGTGGATGAAAACCGCTGCTAAAGTCAACCCAATCCCAGCAATCCGGGAACTACGCAAAGACATGATAGGGAGATATATGCTGCCCCGCTCAGCGCCGAATGTGGGTGCCCAATCCACTTCGAATCGATCCCCAGCGTAGTCCGAGATGCCCGAGAACTTGGATTCACTCGTCGCGTTGGCAGTACATAGAGAATAAAAACGAAATGTCTGTGTGGAATCAAAGTAGGTAAATGCAATAATGTGTAGAGTCATCCAAAAGCTCAATAATAAATATTTTACGCATGGTCCAGAAATATATTGCGAAATCATGTTGAACTTGACCCGATGGTGGAATGCGCAGAACTTTGGACGTGCCGGTGCGAAATAGATCTGTGAGAATCAGGGTGGATAAAATGAGTTTAGTAATAAAATGTGCTGGAAGGGCGCAATGGAACAATAAAACAAAAACTCGACGCGTTGTGTTCCCGTGTTTGGTTGGCGTGTGCAACCGGCCCGAAGCCCGAAGGCGACGAGCGTGTCGAGTCGCACTTCCACAGTGGGCAGAGTCTGTCGACACCACTTCGGTACATGTTGGCAGAGGTCGACCGACGTCCACCCATGTCGCTGGCTCTGCCGACGGGGCCACTGAATGCAGTCACACTGGCGAAAAGAATATCTTGACCTATGTCAATATGTTAATGGAGAGTAGATCAACTTGGAGAGAAATTAAAGCTTGTGGATGCTTAGTAATTTAATTGCGTGCAAAACCGGTGCGGAAGTAGCTGCAATCAGAAGCCCTTTTAGGACTCACATATTTATTCTTTGTCCACGAGTACTGAAAGGACTGCTGAAATATCAACTTTCAACAGGCCTATTGACCTAGGTCAATGCCTTCTCTTTCTAAAATTTACAAAAGTCTTTATTTCAAGTGACATATTGACCTAGGTTAATATCCCGTTTGAAACAAACACTATTGTAAATTTCGGAAAGAAAAGCTGTTGACCTAGGTCAATACACCTGTTGAAAGTTGATATTTCAGCAATACTTTCAGTGCTCGTGGACAAAGAATAAATACGTGAGTCCTAAAAGGGCTTCTGATCACGGCTACTTCCGCACCGGTTTTGCACACAATTAAATTAATACAAATCCGCAAGCTTTAATTTCTCTTCAGGTTTATCTACTCTCTGCTAACATATTGACATAGGTCAAGATATTCTTTTCGCCAGTGTGACTGCATTCAGTGGCCCCGTCGGCAGAGCCAGCGACATGGGTGGACGTCGGTCGACCTCTGCCAACATGTACCGAAGTGGTGTCGACAGACTCTGCCCACTGTGGAAGTGCGACTCGACACGCTCGTCGCCTTCGGGCTTCGGGCCGGTTGCACACGCCAACCAAACACGGGAACACAACACGTCGAGTTTTTGTTTTATTGTTCCATTGCGCCTTCCAGCACATTTTATTACTAAACTCATTTTATCCACCCTGATTCTCACAGATCTATTTCGCACCGGCACGTCCAAAGTTCTGCGCATTCCACCATCGGGTCAAGTTCAACATGATTTCGCAATATATTTCTGGACCATGCGTAAATATTTATTATTGAGCTTTTGGATGACTCTACACATTATTGCATTTACCTACTTTGATTCCACACAGACAGAAAGGGGACTTGGCGAAATAACATGGCTTTGTGTGCACTTGTGGGAGTGGGTAGAACTGACTTGAAGCCTAGAGACTTTTTATAGGAACATCTCGGGGATACCCAACACGGGTACGGGTACGGCACCGCCGCGGATCGTTAATGCATTCAAGACCCCTCCCGATTCGCCCCTGTTCAGTTCCAGAGTTTCTCCAGCTTCGAAAATTCCACGCGCCGCGGATCTTGGTCGTTTCAGTCATCTGCTTGCCTTGAATGCATCAGTGCATTCAAGACCTGCCCCCGTTCAATCCCATTTCTCCAATCTCCCTTGGTTCAGACATCCGTTGAAATTTTCCGCGTCCGCCGCTCGAGCCTCGCTATCTCCGCCGCGTGTCAGTGCCCTCTCTCCTTTCATATAATTTTTCCTCCCTCTGGGAAAACCGTCGCCATTTGGTTTAATTCGCCCGGCTTTAGTTAAATTAGTTCCTGACGCGACGTGTATATTCCTGCGTGTTTGTAAGGGGTTTCTGCTATTCTCGCGTTCCGGTGCTAATGGGTTCAAATTGGGTTCGAGTCAGGTCCGGAAAAAGGTCGAACCTGAATGAACCTGCAATTTATGCTGGGAAAACTGGGAAGGGAGGAGGAGGATATATTATTGCAGCGGTCCCTATAAGGAACAAGCAGGTATTGTACTGACATACACGAAGGCTTAGGCAATTCCTATGATTGCCAGGCCATATAGAAGATTTTAAAAGATGGTGTTCTCTCTTATTGTGAGGGTAGACTACTCCCCTAGACTAGAGTGAGATTTTGAACATTTCTGGCATTGATTAAAATTATTTGAAAGAACTTTTTAGACCGGATGATAGTTCATATACCTTTTACTTATCCGCGATCGAAGTTCGCCAAGTTGCAGTTGGCGTGTGAAATGGTTCAACAAATTTATGCCTGCCTATAAGGCCATGCTCAGGTCCAACCAAAAGTTATTACTGTTGCTGTATTGTGCGGTTTTTAACAGTCAAATTACCTCACAATCCCCAACCTTGGGGTTCGCACCAGTTCGAACATTCGAATATTCGAACCTGTTCGTAGAAATCCAAACCTTGTGAACCTCGAACCGCACCCAGGATTTGGTTCGATCTCCACCGAACCTGAATTCGGGTTCGGGTTCGGTTCTGAACCTAACCCCGGCAACACTACTGTCGAGCGGGACAGGGGTCTTTGCAACAACTCGTGAATCTTTTCTCTACCATTTTATTCTATTTAGCTTGCACCGGGAATAACATATCATGTATGTTTCCCCTCATCTCACGGCCCGGTACTGCGAGAGCGAAAGGACGGCATCTCTTGTTTCACTTGGTTATTTTGGCCTTGAGCTTGAGCGATGGTCCGAACCGGGGTTGTTTAGCTCTTCGTCTGACACTATCGCATTTGCGAACCCCGATCACAATCTCCCTTGCAGCTTATTAGAGTGCTTGTGCCCAAGCGGCATGCCACTTTGTGCATTGTTCAAAAGCAGCATGTAGCTTTTTACAAATTCTGCCTGGTAGTCAAATTCTGACACCCCAATGCTATTACAGTCGTAATGGCCTTTAGAGGGAGAAAAAAAAAAAAGCTGCATGCCGCTTGGGCACAAACTCTCTATTACTCAGCTTGAGGTTCCCGAGTCGAGCCGGCATTTGGCCGCGTAATATCTCGGACCTACAGATACGACTCTTTAACCAGGAGGGTGTGGTGGAACCGCACAAATTTTCTCTTGCCGTTATGACTACACCATCGCTTTCGAGTCCTGTACTTTTGGGACCCAACCAAAAAAAAAATCGCGCAATCCCATTGGATTCGAGAACAGCTGCACAGTAAAGAACGGTTATTTCACACTTTGGGATTTGAGCACGCAGGCCCAGGCTGACCCCCCAAAAAAAGGAACAGAGATCGAAGATTCAAACATGGGGAATCGAACCCTGGTGGCCTCCAGGGACTATATTACACTTTCACTGGTTCATAACATGAGACCGGTGTACAGTACCCTGCACCAAATCCGATTCTTTTACCTCTACTCTACGAAGTTCACCAGGGTAGCATTCCCCTGGGGTGGGCGCCCGAGATACCCGAATGAATCAACTCGGCTGCCCAAGCTCAAGTGCTCAAGTATACATTAGTCTGAACAAGTTTCCGGACGAGCCAAAAATTCACGAACCCTCTTGGTCGAAGGCGTTGGATCGAAATCTACCCGACTTCGCTTGGATCCTCTGACACAGTGCTGAATGACAGAGGAAAAAAAGATGAGGCTCTACGACAAATATTCGGACACGGGGAGTCGAACCCCGCTCTGCCTCCAACATGAATTCTTTCACAATGCGAGAGGCGGTGAACCCTACACCATGTCCTCGTACTGTTAGAAACCTCACTAAGCCGTACCACTTTTCAACATTCCAGTTAGATTATTCGTCAATGCCCAATGAACGCAATTGCGCTGAGACGCCCGATGCCCCCGGGTCAACTTCACCACTAGTAGTATGCCCCCATTGAACCTTTTACACGGTCAAAAGTGGGAGGTTTCTGTGAGCCGGGCATTGCAAAAAAAATGCAGAATATCAGAGCATTCATTCGGACACGGGGAGTCGAACCCCGGATAGCCTCTAACAGAGGTACGCGCCGTAGAGATGGAGGCCGTGTACCCTACACCATGTCCGATTCCTCGTACTATTCGAAACCTCATACTGTTAGAAACCTCGCTAGGCAGTATTACTTTGCAACATTGCAGTTGGATTATTCACCCACAATGAACACAATTTCACTGAGACGCCCGATACGCCAGGGTCAACCCCACTACTAGTAGTATGCCCCCATTGAACCTTTTTCCGCGCTCACAAGTCAGATCTTTCTGCTAGCCGAGAATTAGAAAAAAAAAATGAAGAACATCCGATCATTCATTCGGACACGGGAGTCGAACCCCGGTCTGCTTCCGACAATCCCGCCCATCACCACATGTTGGGAGGCCGTGTACCACACACTATGTCCGATTCCTTTCACTCATTTGAAGCTCGCTAGGTTAGCTACTATTCTTTTTGGTTCAGCCTACAGAGTAAAATACGGACAGCCAACTTCCAAGTTACCCGGAAGGTTCAGCCTCTGAATCGTTTATGCCTCCGAGTCCTATTGATATCGAACCTTTTGTCACCCCTGTGTCGTTCGCAGCTGCGTACACCATACCAATACACAAAATCTGATTTGTCTACCCCTTGACTCTGAGAAGTTCGCTACGCTATCAATATTCTGGGGATCAAGCGAAATCATTTCTGATTCATTAGAACAGACCCACAAAAAAATCCAACACCAGCACATGCACATCCTTTTTTTTCTCTAGATCGCACCCTGCCGTCGAAAAATTGAAGTTGAACAAGGCCTTAAAAATAATGCCTCAACCTTCCATTCGGACACGGGGAGTCGGACCCCGGTCTGCCTCCAACATGAGTGTGAATTCTTCCCCAATGCGAGAGGCTGTGAACCCTACACCATGTCCGATTCCTCGCACTGTTACAAAGGCTGTAGTACTTTGCAACATTCCAGTTAGATTATTCATCAATGAATGCAATTGCACTGAGACTCAAAAATATTCAACCTCACTAGGACGCCAGGATTTGAACTTTTCCCGCGTTCAAAAGGGGGAGAAGCCGGGAAGTACAAATACAGAAAAAAAAAGAGCAGAGGAGATCCATCCATTCGGATACGGGGAGTCGAACCACGGTCTACCTCCAACAACCTTGTGCCAATGACGACATGTTGAGAGGCCGTGTACCGTACACCATGTCCGATTGCTTTCACAGATTTGAAGCTCGCTAGGTTAGCAATTCTTTTTTGGATCAGCCCGAATAGATCCAGTGAGAATGCATATGCCCGACATGCCCGATCAGATTCACCTTCACTTCAATTATACCGCCCATGGATATTGAGCCGTTTTTGGCCCGGGGCCGTTCGGAAACTTCTGCGAACCGGGCATGACGAGAAGAAAAAAAGGATTCGAGTTGTGGTCCATTCGGACAGGGGGGGTCGAACCCCGATCTGCCTCCAACAATTTTGTCTGCCACCACACGCATGTTGGGAGGCCGTGTACCATACACCATGTCCGACTGCTTTCACTCAGAGTCATTTGAAGCTCGCTAGGTTCGCACTTTTTTTGTTCGGCCCACTCAGATCGAGCAAAATATAGATGGAGCCCAGTGTTCAACCTCGCTTATGCTGCCATGGATAATTCCTCGAATATATTTGCCTCATACTTTCTTGAGCATTGGATGTGGGCATTTGAGCAAAAAAGCGAACACACCACCGTGGTGACATCCGGACACGGGGAGTCGAACCCCGGTCTGCCTCCAACAATCTTTGCGTTCCAATGAGAGCATGTTGGAAGGCCGTGTACCATACACCATATCCGATTCCTCGTACTGTTACAAAGGCTGGAGCACCTTGCATTATTTTGACTAGATTATCGGTCATTGAACGCAATTGCAAGGCACCCGATGCCCCCCAAAAGATTCAACCTCACTAGTACGCCATTGATATTATGAGACTCCCCATTGAACCTTTTTCCGCGTTCACCCGAGGGATATTTCTGCTAGCTGGGCCTGACAAGAAGAAGAAAAAGGAGGCAAGGCCGGACCATTCGGACACGGGGAGTCGAACCCCGCTCTGCCTCCAACATGAATTCTTTCGCAATGCGAGAGGCGGTGTACCCTACACCATGTCCGATTCCTCGTACTGTTACAAAGGCTGTAGTACTTTGCAATATTCCAGTTAGATTATTCGTCAATGACCAATGAACACAATTGCACTGAGACGCCCGGTGCCCCCAAAATATTCAACCTCATTAGTACGCCATTAATATTATGAGACCCCATTGAGCCTATTTCCGCGTTCACCCGAGGGATATTTCTGCGAACCGGGCATGACGAGAAGAAAAAAAAAGGAGGCAAAGCCGGACTATTCGGACACGGGGAGTCGAACCCCTGGTCTGCTTCCAACAATCTTCCTCTTCACATCTCCTATGTGGGGAGGCCGTGTACCATACACCATGTCCGATTCCTCGTACTGTTACAAAGGCTGTACTAGTAATTTGCAACATTCCAGTTCGATTATTCACCATTGCAAGACGCCCGATGCCCCCAAAAGATTCAACCTTACTATTACGCCATTGATATTATGAGACTCCCCATTGAACCTTTTTTCGCGTTCAAAAGTGAGAGATTTCTGCGAGACGGGCATTACCGAACAAAAACTGAGTACATGGCAATTCATTCGGACACGGGGAGTCGAACCCCGGTCTGCCTCCAACATGATTGCAAGTTTTTCGGTTAAGACGAGAGGCGGTGTACCATACACCATGTCCGATTCCTTTCACTCATTTGAAGTTCGCTAGGTAGCATTTTATTTTATTTTATTGGATCAGCCTACTTAGATCAAGTAAAACACGGACAGCCAACTTCCTCGACACCCGGAAAGATAAAGATTCAGCCAACAAGTCGAGCCCCGGGCCCGGATGGCAGGTAAGCAAGTAAGTAAGAGTCCATAGAGTCCCGGGAACCCATTATACAATGCTCGTACGTACAGCTAGGGCTAAGTATCCATATCCTAAACCAGCCGAATCCCACAGTAATCCCACAGGGCACAGGCCTAATCGAACAACGGTCCACGATCGTCGAACGACGACCCACGATCCTTGAACCCAAACCCAGGATCGTCGAACCTGCGGCCGAACCCTGAATCGACGTCGAACCCGCTGCCGAAAGCGGGATGGCGCCTCACGCCTTGGGGGAAGTTGCTAGTGACTGGTTCGGATAAGAGCGCCGTGCGGGGTTGGGTAAGTCAAGCTATCATCGAGAGAAGGGGGACGGCCAAAAAAAACGGGGTTGGGGAGGCGCGAATGAAAGAAGAAAGGAAGAACGCAGATGGAAAACACTCACATCAACGATCACGTAACATCCCCATGCACCTTCATCAGCAAATGTGCGCAAAGCTGATCGGCGCTCATAATGTTCAACAATTGATGTCATCATCACCAGGCTGTTGCAATCTGGTGAAGCCGCCGGCACGCGCTCACATCACGATCATCCAAGCGGGCGACTTTTTCAGAGCGGGTAGCGCTGGCGAAGCTTGTGATGCTCACGATGGATGATGAGTCCTCACGAGCCCTTGGGGCCCATCCCACATCTGTACCCTCCACTTCCCCTTCCCCAATATCGAGCTCAGCACACAAAGAAGAGAAAAATAAGATATATGAACGAACGCGCTACATAAGGGTACAAGTATACAATATGTCACAGCAAACATACCTCCAATGCGGCCACAAACACGATGGCACGGCTTACGTTGCAGTGAGGGAAGGGTACATGCAAAGGCGATGAAAGGGAAGTGATAAGCAATGCGGACTTGAAGCGAAGATCTTGACGCTTGCAGTTTGAAAGCCATCACCTTGACGCCGAGGGTTCGGGACACAAAGGAAATCTTGAAATGCTTGAGGGGGTTATGGGTCTTTGAGGATGGGTTGTTCAAGGCCTTGACGAGCTTGAGATTCAGACGGACTTGGGAGTCAAGACCGTCTATTTGAGGCCTTGATCCGCTTGAGGTATGCCAAAAACGATTTGAAGTGCTTCAAGGCCCAGCGTAACGGATAACCTAGACTGGAGACGTTGACGGGCGTCGGAGGATGCAAAGAGAGAAGGGAGTGCGGGGCATGGTGGTGGTGGCGAGAGGAAAGATGTGGGATCAACCGCCATCAAGTCTGTCAAACAATCAACAAGATGCACGGACCATACACGTGCTGATGGGCTGGACGCGTTGGCCAAGGCTAGCGCGTGTGTATCCGAGTCGCCGTCGTCCAAGCTTTGGCCATTAAAAAGATGCTGATTCATGTATAAAGCCAAAAATAATAATCCACTGTGCTTAAAATGTGGAAATACGTCGCCAATGTGCCAAATATTCCGGTCCGAATCAGGTATACGAGCCCAAGTCGAGCCGATATTAGATATTTTATTATGCTGACTTAACATGCAGTTCGGAGAAGGAACCGGTGGCTGAGAACTCGATCAGTGGTGGGAGGGTATGGTGGGGGAATATTTCGCCAGACTGCCTAACTGCGCGCAATAAATGGTGAGAACATGAAATACTGGCAACTGTCTCGTACTTAACGCAGCAAGAGGTCACTGATCTCATTATCGTACCCACTGATGAACACACGTGCCACCCCCCCCACCAAATATTTGGTCGCGATCAAAAACAACCATTTGGCCTTGGACATGTTTTCGGGCTGTGGAAAATTTTGTATTATATGCTAGATGCTTTAAATATGTACCATATGCTTGACTATCAATTACCAGAGGCTATGAGCTCCTCCAAGTGCCCTACTACGTCAAATGCCAGCCAAGCCCAATTAGGCCATAAATCCGGTGGTAACCCACTTCGAAACGAAATCCTCCACAGAAAATTCCAAAGGCTCTCTGCAACATTATACATGTTCTAGCTGCTCAGATAGCCTCTCAAGCAAATTTATTTGCCACTCCTTGAACCTGAGGAAGGAGCCATCGCATCTGGTCACGTGTTGTTGATCGTGGGTCGAATCCTTATCTTAGGGACCTCTTGTAACGCAGAGTCTTACATGCCGCTGGCCAACGCTGGTGAGCCCGGATAACGCTCCATCAGATCTGCGGAAGCTGATCAGCGTCATCAGCCTATATCCGCTTCGTGCACATTTGCTGATGTTCGCCTTGATCTGCACGTCCACCTCCACATTCAGATCCAGCCGCAGCTTCAGCGCGTCTTTCTTCTTTTGCCCCCCGCCGCCCCCGCCTCCGAGTAGTCCACCACCGCCGCCAGGGCTGAGGACGGAGCCGAGGGTGTTTGAGAGGATTTGGCCTGCCTGGTCGGGGAGTTGTTGTTGGGGAACGGGTGCGAAGATTGGTGCGAGTGTGAAGACGCCGACGACGAGGACTGCGATTGAGATGGGGGAGGCCGCCGCGAGGTTCTTCTTGTGATGGTTGTGGGACTGGGAACGCGACGCAGGCACTGAGTGGATTTGAAAGTCCCGATCACCCGCCTGCTAGTTCTCGGCCCGCGCCCCAGCGCCGCCGCCGCCGCCGCGCTGTGCGTCGACAACCCCAGCGGGTGGGTCGTCGAGGAGGACGGGCTCAGTGTGTTGCGCGCCGAGTGCGTGTGGCGGGGTGACGACTCGCATGACAAATCCAAATCTAGCGGAACCCTCGAGCTTGTCTCGCTCGGCGAGGATGTGCATCAGGTGTGTTCTGCCTTCTCTTCTCTATGTCGTGTTAAATGAAGCTAACACCCACCCAGCTCTCCCTCCCCACGACTACACACCGCATCCTCATGCCCTTTCGCGCCATCGGGCCGCTGCTCACCCCGCCCGTGCTTTCTTCGCCAGATAGGGAGAAGGAGGAGGTGCTGTTGAAAGGGATGCTGGAAGGGGTGGGGGTGCCGATTTATACGTTGGTGGTGGTGTTGCCTGTGTCTACAACGGCGGGCGAGGCGGCAACGACCGCCGTGGATTCTGGCGTACCCCCAGCGTGTCTAATTCCTCGTCTGCGGCTACGTCTAATCCTCCTCCCCCTCTTCTACATGGTCACCCTCATGAAGTCGACGTCGAAATCCCGGAACCCCTACGCGCGCTCGTGCCCGTCGTCTTCCTCGCTCCTCCTGCGCCTGCGCCTGCTTCCTCGTCCTCCCGTTCTCCTGCGGCCGAGGCTTCCCCCATCGAAGACAAAAACGAAGATCCGAACGACGGCGAAGATGAGAACGACACGACCCTCACCCTCGACGCAGAGGCCGAGGGGGCCCCGCCGACTGCACGCTTACCTCCCCTCTCACCGAGACCTTCTCATACGGAGCGCGAACCCACCGTGACGTATCCCCCTGCCGCTCCCGCTCCCGCTCCTTCACCCTCCAAGAGCACGAGTACGAGTGCAAATACGAGCGGGAGGAATATGAAGGACACGTACACACCTACGCCCTCCGGCGCCTCCTCGGGCTCCACGCGCCTTCCCCCTCCCCGTCCTCTCCCTCTCCCTCCTCCTCTTCTTCCTCCCCTGTTTGTCATTCATTTTCTTTGGCTCTTCGGGAAGCGATGGGGGAGACGCGACGCTAGACGGCGGCATTAGCGGTGATGGTGAGAGGATGCCGGTGGATAATGTCTGCGGGGTCGGCGATCGAGGGAGAGCTGGGGAGGGTCACCGGTCAATCCTGGAGAGGTATTGGGATCGACTTCGATATTGTCATGGACAGGAGTCTTGCTGGGTTATCACGCTCACCTGCGTGGATCTCTCTCCTCGCTGGAATCGAGGGAGACGCTCGTCATTTGTTCTCGCGAGCGTTCCGTTCCTGCATACAGGCTGGGCTATGACGCGTGCATTTCCTCTCGCTGGAATCAAGGGAGACGCTCGTCCGTTTTTTCTTGCTCTCGCTCGCGTTCCGTTCTGCATGTCGTGGCTGCGCTACGCCTCCGCGAGGTGATGCGCAGGGCAAGTCTCCGCGAGGGTCGAGCGCTCGCTCCTTTGCCTCTTCCTCGCGATGCGGTCATAACGTGCGCGCTCGCAATGTGGTAGATTCACGATCTAGCGCTATGCGCCAGTCCGATTTCATCGGGCGGTGTCCGCGTTGGAAGCTCGTTTGCGTTGCTCGCTGTCTTTCTTCCTTGTTTCCACTATCTCCGCGCCATGTGGCTGGTCCGCTGCGCACCTGTCCCCCACTTTCTAATTATGTTCTTCTGCTATGCGCTAGTTGCGCGTCGTGACTCTTGGTGCCACCTCGTCTGTTCCTGGCGGCGATCTCCCGTGGCTCGGCATCGTCCGCGTGCTTCCCCCAAAAATAATTATTTTGTACGACTTGTAATTCAAACCCATCTACATATAGTTTTTACCTTTTGGGGGAATCGTTTTTGAGGTCTGCGAGCGCCATAGCGAGTATGCACGGCGGTCTGCGGAGGCCGGTCAGCAAAAATAATTGGCGAGCTTCCAGCTTTACTAGTCTGATGGAGGTGACAATCTGCATGTCAATGTTCAAACCAATCTATCTAAAAGTACGAATACATTGACAACATCTCTAGCTTGGGTCTAACTTGACCCTACGACAGATCTTAACATAGAAATGCAGTGTTGAGGTCCTTGGCTTGGCTCGGGTTTAGCGATAGGACATAACAGAGCCTCTGAGTCTGTGGTGCATATAACGGCGCAGCATGCGTGCGTGCCTACCCATCACAAATCATATGCCTCACTCAAGGCCTCACCACAGCACCACCGAACGCTTGGATACAGCCATAGCATGGTTGACCCCAGCTGTAGCACTGTTGGATGAGATTCACGACGGTTTTGGCACCCCCTTTATCC